AAACCACAGCGTTCTTGCCTCTCTGCATTGGTTCATGTAATTCTCCTATGTCACTTTCGCCATTTCTCTTCATTCCATGTAGTGACATTTTCGCTTCTGTCATCCATTCATCCTCTCCACAAACATTTACTGAGCACTCACTACTTGACAAGGACTATGCCTTCAAAGGAGCTCACAATCTATCGGGTAGACTGACCTATGACAACTAATTGTTGTGGAATGGAATAAAGCCCTAGTTTTGCTATGTATCAAGTATTATGAAGACATAGAGAAGAAAAGCATGAACTTCATGAGTCAAGGAAGGTTTAACTTAGGAGGTAATATTTGATCTTGGTTTTGAAGGATGAAAAGATGTTCCACAGGTATAAAAGAGAAAGGGTGGCACCTGGGTGATGCAGTCAGTTAAGCGTCCAACTCTTGGTTGGGCTCAGGTCATGATCTAAGGGTTGAGAGATCAAGCCCCATGTCAGGTTCTATGCTCAAAGCAGGGTCTGCCTAAGACTCTCTCTTCCTCTCCCCCTCTCCGCCAGGGTCTCTCTCTCTCTCTCAAATAAATAAATTTTTAAAAGAGAAAGCTATCCCAGTCAGAGGAAATAGCATGTGCTGAATCCCACCTAGCTTACATTTCCATTCTATTGGACTTCTATAGTTTCTACTTACATCATGCACCTCACAATTTTAGTACTTATGGTGTAAAATGTATAATTTATAATCACATTAGATGTCTCAGACTACAAACTTCTTGACCAGCCAGTTCATATACTTCATTTGTATTCTCCTTGAACCTTAGCTATGTGGTATCACTGGGTACATAGTAAGGACCACAAAGATGTTGACAGGTTAACCTGGTAATCTATCAACATTTATGGATTCCTTATTTTTTTGTGCAGGGGTTCCAACAAAACTTTATTAGGACACTAAAATTTGGATTTCATATAATTTTCAGCAATAATGAACTATTGTTCTTTTGATTTTTAAAAGACTTAATTTTTTTAGAGCAGCTTTAGGTTCAGAGCAAAATTGAGGGAAGGTATAGAGATTCTTCCACATACACTTTGTCCCCACACATGCACAGCCTCCCCTATAATCCATATTGAGTGGTACATTAGTTACAATTGATAAACCTACACTGATACATCATCATCACCCAAAGTCCATACTTTACATTACAGTTCACTCTTGGTGTTGTATATTCCAAGAGTTTAGACAAATGTATAGTGAGATGTGTATCTATTATTATGGCATCATACAGCACATTTTCAGTGCCCTAAAAATCCTCTGTGTTCTGCCTGTTCAGTCCTCCTCCCTCCAACACACACACACACACACACACACACACACAAACTCACTCCTTAGTTTTTATGTGTAAGGGAAGGAAACTAGTATTTATTGTAGTAAACTGTTGACTACATGCTAGGTTCTGTGTTAAAAGCTTTACACATGTTCCTTCATTTAGAGAGATTAATCAGGCAGTGGGCTGTTTTGGAAGATGAAGTTATTGGGGAAAGGGAGACAAACATAGACCTCAATGTAGCAAACCAGAAATGATGGAAGAGGATCCCTCTAATGGAATTTGATCACTTGCTATGTACTAAGGCGGATGGAAAGAGAAGACGTATTTTGCACCTGAAGCCTCTCTTTCATAAGCTCCCACCAAGTACATATCCCACTCGGTAGCAATGATGTCTATACTTTGCTGACTGTGCTAAGCTGGGATTCATTAGAAACTTCACCTTAAAAGGAGCCGTGTGTGACAATGAAAAGAGCATGAGCTTCAGAGTCCAGTGAAACTCCCCACCCCGGTTTTCCATGTTACTAGCTGTGTCACATTAGGCAAGTTTCTTAAACCCTTGAAGCCTTAATTTCCTTGTCTGTAAAACAGATACAATAGTAACTACCTCATAAAATTATGTTATCAGTTGCAAAATACCTAGCGTACAGAAATGCTCTAAAAACCTTCCTCTCTGGCCCTCCCCCTCTTCCTACGTTCAACCGATTAAAACTGAAGAAGTTGAAAGTACCAGATATGACCAATAAGTAAAAAGTGCTTTTCTTTGGCAACATTCTTTATTACAGAAATTTTGTTTCCTCAAGTGTCAACTCTTGCTGATGTCAGAGTGTTAGCTGTTCAACATACTCTTGGAAGGCTAGCACTGTTTATAGATGATTCCGTTTGCAAATTTAGAAAGCAAATCCAGGTGGAGAAATTGTCACACGTTTTCTAAAATTCAGAACTCCTTTGTTTCTATTCTTTTGTATTAAGTCACTAGACTACTTTTTCTTTAAGGCAGAGCATGAAGCATTTTGTACAGACCGAAATTAACTACTCTCTTTCTCAGTTTCAGCCAGAAGGACATTTATTATATGTTCTACAAAGTCATATTCAGCTTTCCAAACTGAGAAATATTTAAGGGATTTCATTATATTTGGGGAAATTTTCATCATCAGAGATTTAACAGCTACCAAGAAAGAACTCCACAATTAATCTTTTATAACATGAGTGTGACTTGTAATTTCCACACTAAGAAAAAAAATTACTAAGTATAGGGGAAAACTCTTCATAAACTATAATATTTCTTGGCAAAGAAAAACTGCTTTATGATTTTTAAGATATGTTTGAGGATTTAAATGAAACGTACATGTTTGAAATTAGGGCCAGATGCAACACAATTCAAGTCCAATTCACTAGCTGCATCACATTTACTGTGATTTAGTAAAAGGTATTCAATAATTCAATAATTCTATGTTTCATAGAAATCTCACAAATACAAGTATTTCATTCATAAAGGGCATGGTTTGGCAGGTTTCCAGGGCAGGAATTTGCTGGAGGAGAGGTAAATTTATTGATTAAAATAAATCAAATGACTGACATTTCCCCCAGAAAACTGGCAAAACAATGATATTCGGAGACTGGAAGTCTTACAACCAGAACCAGAAGAAAATTTCGAGCTATTTACATTTATTTACATTTATTATAGGAATCCTATAATATGATAGAGCAAACAATCAGACATTTGAGAATTCTCAAATTTTAAAATACATATTTTTGGAGTAGGACATTCCAAAACCTTTAATATGAAGTCTGGTGTTTGTAGCTCTTTGGATTAGTTATAATTATATTCCTCCTCTGTCCTTTGTACCTTTATATGCACTGAATAATGAGTACTCTGATGGAATATGTGCAGAAACAGTTCTTAAACAGGTCAACATCACTCAGCTCCTACCCTGTGTCTCAGTGCTTCCCCCTCTGTGCTCTCTTTTCCACTCTGGTCACACTTCCACCAACAGCATTTGTTATGAACTGAATGTTTATGTACCCCCAAATTGCTGTGTTGAAACTCTAACCCACAGTGTGGCTACATTCGGACATGGGGCCTCTAAGGAATTAATTAAGGTTATATGGGGTCATAAGGGTGGGGCCCTGATGCTCTAGGATTAGTGTCCTTATGAGAAGAGGCACCACATAGCTTTCTCCTGTGCACACGCGTCCTTTCTCTACAAACACATCAGGAAGAGATCCTGTGAGCACACAGCAAGATGACTCCTGCCTACAAGCCAAGAGAAGAGGCTCCCGAATGAAACCTACCTGCCAGCACCTTGATCTTAGACTTTCCAATCTTTAGAACTGTGTGAAATTAATTTCTGTTGTTTAAGCCACCCCGCCTGTGGTATTTTGTTATGGTAGCGTGAGCAGACTAAGACAGTAATTAAGAGGCCCAAATGCACCAGCCATAGTAGCACTTTTATACACATCCTTTCTTTAACTGCCTGACTTGTTAAAGATTTGGATTGGGGGAAAACGTTATTGAGACCTGGACACAATTGGCCAGGAGAGTTGCACACAGATCCTGAAATCACTCAGACCTGCTTCTATTCTAGAATCAGAGAAGGTCAGCAGGAGAAGGGCTTGAGCGACCCAAGCTTGTCAATTCAGGTTTTATTATGATTCTGGGGTTACAGGAAACTATGCCATACACCTGGCGTATCCTTCTGGAAGACACTGGGAGTGAGGTAACAGATAGTTACCTAGAAAGCTTAAACATCTGTTTACACTAAATCATGATATATTAGAGCGCAATGCAAAATTCTTATACATTTTTAAAGTGCTTCAAAGAAAGGCGTTATAGATAATGTTAACAACAGTAACAAATGGCTAAGACTTAAAATTACTGTGGGCTAGATAATGTGTTAAGGACTTTATGTGTATTTTCTTTCATCATCCTCATGAAAACAGGAACGTCGTCTTATCATCATTACAGAGCACTATTTCGGAAAGTGGAAGCATTTCTAAAATAGCCCGCGCTCTCATCACTATCACATTATTCTGCTTTGTATTCTTCACAGCACCTTCTTTTTTCTTTTTTTCCTTACTTATTTTCTGTGCTCCCCCAACCCCCTCCTCGGGGCCTGAACCAGTGGCTGTCACGGAAAAGGGGCTCAATAAGCTTTTAGTCAAGGCCACACATCTGGTCAGGGTAGCGGATGGAAAGCACCAGGAGAGCAGGAGTTGGGACTGTTTTCCGCCAAGCAGAGGCTGGCAGGGTGCCTGCTCAATCAGAAGGAAAAAAGAAAGGAAGGAGGAAGGGAGGAAAGAGGGAGCGAGGGGGGAGAGGCTGAATGAATGGAAATGTTCCCTTAAGCGCCTAGAGAGCATCTACCGCAAACCTCCCTCCTAGGAGGAATGAACTCAGTTCAAGGTCTAAGCCAGCAGTTTCCTCATTCCCAAAACCAGCGAGCAGCAGGGAATGGGGAAAAGAACAAAGCCTTTAAAAACGTCCAGAAGAAAGGGAGGAACGGTGAGAGAAAAGAAGCAGAAAGAAACGAATCCGGCGCTGTAAACAGATCTGAAAGCGAGCTGAGCCCGGCCGGTTGCCATGACGACCCGAGGCCAGAACGGCCCCAGTCCATTGGCTGAGATGCCGGAGCCAATGGGAAGGCGCGGTGTTGGCGGGGTCTTAAGATGGCTGCCGGGCGGCCGGCTCCCGCCGGGTGAGTACCGCGGATTGCGGGGCTGCTTCCCGGCCGCCCCGAGCTCCGATTTGACGGGTCCGGGAGGCCCGGGTGCGGGGAGCCAGCGAGCAGGTGCGGGCGGCCTCACAACCTCACGGCCGCGCCAGCGAAGCCCCCGGCCGGGCCCACGGGAGCGTTCGTGGGGCTGGCCTCCGCTTTGCTTGGAAGGTACGTAGCGCCTTCCCGAGCCTGTTGGTGGGAGAGGGGTTCTCCGTCCCGCCCCGGCCAAAGTGAGAGGGTGAAGAGGCTTTCTATCGGGGAAACAGGCTCCTGTTTACAACTGCTGTAGCCCGGGGAAGAGCTGCAGTTAGTGGGAATGTCAGCGGGCTAGACGTCCTGCACCCGAATCTGCGGCGCTCAGTTGTGTCCCCGGGACGGGATTCTTCCCTTTTGGGGATCGGAGGGTGGCACTGCCGCCGGCGAGCCTGCCGAGCTCCGGGTCCTGCAGCCCAGCAGGAAGAGGTGTACCTTTCTAGAGCCACCCTTTTGCAGTCTTGAACCTTGTAAGTATTCTCACAGCGGCATCCGACTTAAAATGAGCCTCGAAATGTTATTGGTTCACTGTAAATCTTTCCATGCAGGGTCTTGGGACGTGTTTTCCAGGCCTTGACGAAACAAATAGCGTCTTTTTATTGGAACATATGCATACATACAACATCCTGCCAAATACATGGTTTGGGTAATCAGACAGGGAACTTAAATTCGAAGTCAGGCCTCTGATTCAGTTGTACTTTATCTTTTTGAGAAAAGACAACATATTTCATGAATGGGACCTTTACATTAGCGTTCATGAGATGTGCTTAATAAGCATTTTAGTAAAGTAATTCCGAGTCATGGAAACGGACTGTTGTGTAAATTATTTAACATGATGGTGGGTGGTGGTTTATGATTATTACACAAGTTAAGATTAAATTCAGATCGGACAAAATTCAGGTTTCTGTGATTATTCTAATTGAATACAAAATATGGGAAATAAGACAGCTTTGTATGGTGAAAATAGAATTGAAATTCTGGAATATTAGAGACGGGAGACATTTACCCATTAAACTGCTCAGATTGGGTTTTGGTTATAAGCAGTCGCCTGATCTTCCAGAAAATGTGACATTATTACCCAGACCTCTGAATGTGATTTTTATGTACACATTTTAGTATAGCATGTTACATAAGTTTCTGCTTTGAAAGAGCAAGACAGATTTTTTTCTTAAGCAAATTTTAACAAAATTACAGGCTAGAGTCATTCTTTAGACCCACTCTCAAATCTTTGTCTCCACGAATATATTACTACTTAAATTGCATCCTCTAAAAGTTTCTCAGTTGAAGCCCTAGAGTTCTGCTTTTGTAAAATAAGCATATCACAATGCCTTAGGCAAGTCAGTTACCTCACCTGTGAAAGGGGTTTCGATAGTAATTTCTAGTGGAAGGGTTGTTGTAGGGATTAATGGTAAAAGAATTTCTGTCCCATTGTTTGTATGTGACATTGTTTATATGCCATGCACATCATTGAGTTGCTTTGTTTTTCTTTCTGGTTCTGTTTCTTCTCTGTAACTGGGGTCTCCTTTGCTTTCTCTAGAGCACCTTTCAGGTGTTTTGTCTGACATGCAGTCTTACTGAAAACTGGAAATCTTGGCCGTGGTGGCGGGGTTGAGGAGAGAAGCCTTATCCACTGGGGTATCAGGGTTTAATCAGTATTGCATCTGACTGGTATATCACATCTCTTTGAGAATGGCTGAATAATTTTCACATTTAAAGGGTAATTTGGAATGATTTGCTTTAGAATAAAGGCATGGGGTGAGAGACATTTCAAAGAATTAGAGAATCATCTTTAAGAGCAGCCAAAACAGGAGTAAGCACCAGGCCTAACCTAGTACCAGTTGGTACCATAGTACAATTGGAAATGTATGAGTGACATGTATATACTATGAATTCAAAGACAGTGTTTTCAAACATGAACCCAAAGCAAGTCACAGAGCAGCCACTCCATATTGGCTGGTTTACAGTTGAGCTGCTGCTCACGTGGGCAGCTCCACTTTGCAGTCTTCTCGGTGAGTTATCTGTGTTCATCAGTGGCCATGGAGTTGCCCTTGTATATATTATGTATTTTTGCAGTCACAGGAGAATGGCACACCACTTTAAAGATGTTCAGGAACTAAGTTCAGAAACGTGTTATTTGAGTTTTGCCTTATTTTATGGATTTGGATGTAGAATCTAATTTCTAAAATTTATTTTAGTTCTTTTTTCTGTGGGCACGCACAAGAAATTATCGTACCAGCCAATGTCATACTGAAGACAGGTCCAAAATGTGATCAAAAAATGCTTGAGAGCTGATGGGGAAAGGCAACTTCAGGGCACCCGAAAGTGCTCCCCAGAGTGAAGCACGTTTGGGTGCCCAAAGCAGAGACACACCCTGTAGGGATGCTGAAGCAGTGTGTTCCCGTGGGAGAACTGTGCTTGTCAGAGAGGCACATGCCTTTCATTAGCAGCCACAACTGAAGTCTGGGCCGAGTGGTACTTACTTGGCTGCTGATGGACAGACGCTTGCCATGCGTGTAGAGTGTTGGCTCCATGAGGTTAGATATTTTTGCCTGTCCTCATGTCTTAAAGAGTGCCCGGCACACAGGGGCTTTGCACAAGATGCTATGGACAGGGAAAAGAAACAGTGGTTTCAAACATAGAACCCCAGTTTTGCTAAGAATGCTGAATCTGAAATTTGTTACTGTCCTTAAGTTCTGAAATAGATACGAGCCTAAAGGTATATAATGTGTCAGTGGCAAAGTCATGTTGGAGCTTATTATCATTCCCCCTCCATTTACTCCTCAGAACAGTTAAAATAGTTTTACTGATGGCATAACATCTGTTTTTCAGTATTGGCATATTTCACATGATGTCTTTTGTGCTAACAAAGTATCTAAAGGTTACCCATTCCAACTGTTAAAATCCTCAGACCAGGTTTAGGGGTGGATCCAGGTTTTATGGGGCTTGGAGCTTATATAATTTGGGGTCTCCTCTTTAAGAAAAGGAATGCAAATTCTAAATAGAGAATTAGGTATAATGCTTTGGAAAGATTTGTGCAAGAGGAGTCTTGACACTTAGGCTCCATTATCTTCCTGCCTTTGGTTTTATTCCTCCATTCAGAAAACCAGACACCAGAAACTTAATGTTAGACTGTGGAAATCAGGGAGGTAAATGAGTTGCATCAATTGCTAAGTGAATGCACCTCAACCTTAGAAACTTCAAAACTACCCTGTGAATGCTGCTACCCGTAATAGAAATTATAAAAACATAATATGTGGCCATAGAAATACTAATAGCAAAAAGAGCTCAGCATCGATCAAGCCCCTAGAACCTCCTAAACATTGTGGTGAGTGTTTTCATAGCTTATCTCATTTAATTCTCAGAATAACCCTGTACACAATATGACTATCCTTGTATTACAGCAGAAAAAGCTGAGGGTCAGAGGTGGTAAAAATGATTTCCTCCCACTGCTAGTATATGATGGGGTCAGGATTACAACTGGAGCAGTGAGATGTCAGAGCCCTTCTTCTTAACAAGCCAAAAGAGTATTTTGGTGAGGTTGTTTCGGAGGGCTAACAACTGTGGAAGCTGGACCTAAACTGCCAAAAATCAGATCTGATTCTTTGGACCTGGGAGGAGGTTCCTAAAGGTTATCTGGAATCCGTTATTCAGATTAATGCAAAATCCCGTGGCATCTTTGTCTCAGAGACAATGGTGGTGGTTTTCTTATTAGGTTAATCACAATAGGGGCCAGAAAACTCCGCAAAAACAGTTTCCATCCTTGCATTTTATTCCTTCAGGGTTGATGGTAAATCATGAGCAGTACAATCAACTTCTCTTTTTTAGGCATCTTTTTGTTTTAAAGATTTTATTTATTTATTTGACAGAGAGAGACAGAGAGAGAGGGGACACAAGCAGGGAGAGCGGGAGAGGGAGAAGCAGGCTTCCCGCTGAGCAGGGAGCCCGACGCGGGGCTTGATCCCAGGACCTTGGGATCATGACTTGAGCCAAAGGCAGCTGCTTAACCGACTGAGCTACCCAGGCGCCCCTTTTTAGGCATCTTTTGAATGAAGTGGTTTTGACTCAATATGTATGCCATGTGATTAATAGTGAAAATGTACTCAATTATCATAATTTTAGCAAATGATTATAACTCCAGTTTTTAAAAATAATTTTTGATAAACTTAACAGTAGTTAATATTCTTTCTACCAAGGGGCCGTATAGCTAATGACAGATATTATTCTGAACTTTAACCTTAGTTTCCTAAACACAATATTGGTATTCAAAAAAGCTGTATGTTTTTGTTCAATTGTTAGGATTAACATTTAATACTCCATTTCTTATTATTTTAGCAAACAGTGTAAAATTTAAAACTAGGACATTCTTTTTACTGCCACACTTTCCTCAAACTACTTGCACAGCCTAAAAATTTTCCTTTGAATAATTGTTTTCCTACTCCTTGGACAATAAGTCCCTTGAAAGTTCAATTCAATACCAGTGAAACATCTGACTCTCTTTTTTAATTGTGATAGCTTGAAATACAATATTATAAATCTTAAATTGTGTGAGATATATATTGTTAGGCTCTTAACATTCTTGAGCAATGAATGCTTTTACTGAATTTATTTTTTTTTTAGACAAAATTATCTGTATATTAGAGAATCTAGGTCCTATCTTTCTTTAAGTCATTCACCTGTAGGTATGTCTTATAACAGACTTGCTTAAACTACTTTGTACTTTTTGAAAAATTTTATACAAAGATTTTAATTCTTTTAATATGGAAGGTACATCCCATTTTAGATTAAAAGAAAAAAGTCTAGATGGACTGTTCCCAAACCATTGGGATAATTACTAGACTCTTGGGGTTTTAAATTTCTTTCCGTGTCCACTTTATATGTCTGAATTCATCTTTTTTTCCCTTTAGAAGAAAAGATGTGGAGTGGGCTGCTACCTCCTGGCCTAAATGAAAGCGATATTGAGTTGAATTCTGAAGATGAAGCCCCATTAGAGAACTCTGGATTTAACTTACAGGAAGATAAAGAAGATGGGGCCATTACAGAAACGGAGGTCTCAGATTTCCCAACTGATGGACCAAAGCCTGGAGTAGAGGCAAATGTAAATGCATATGAAGAATGCCCCTCTGGAATTCCCTTAACTATGTGGCATGTAGGTTTTCTCTGATGTGTTCTTATTAAAGCCTGTGTGCGTGTGTGTTTGTGCATGCTCCTGTGTCTGCCATGGTCAGAATGCTTGTTCTTGGGAAGTAATAGGGAAGATTGACTCAATACTCTGGGTCTGTGGTCAACCCATTGGGCACTCAGATGCTTGCTTTCATCTTTGTGTTGTTTTTTATAAAGAGAGGAAGAAAAACATTTGATAGGATTAGCTACTTTGCTTAACATAATACATTAATTTGATCTCTTTGTCGTCTGTATGAGTCACTGAATTTTACTCTCAGATAATCAGATTGACTTATGTCGAAATAAATGAAGGTAAAAACTCAGGTTGTGAAAGAGTCTTAGAAAATAGAGTATCTCAAGAAGAACTGAACTACTTTTGTTAAATTTGTATTTTTATAAATGCTAGAATATATTTTTATTACTTAACATGTTATTTTTTGAATGTATGCTTTGCTTCAAAATATATTTACTACTTTTTCTCTCTCTCTTTTTTTTACTTTTATATAGAAATTTCAAGAATTGCATAAAAAACATTCTGAACAGAAAACCTCAACTTCAGGATTCAGAGGGAAAAAAAGAAAACGCTCCAGGAAAGGTGTTTTGTTTTGTTTTGTTTTGTTTTTTTAAAGATTTTATTTATTTATTTGAGAGAGAGAATGAGAGAGAGAGAGAGAGCATGAGAAGGGGGAGGGTCAGAGGGAGAAGCAGACTCCCTGCCGAGCAGGGAGCCTGATGCGGGACTCGATCCCGGGACTCCAGGATCATGACCTGAGCCAAAGGCAGTGGCTTAACCAACTGAGCCACCCAGGCGCCCAAGGTGTTTTGTTTTAATTCAAGTTGTCAATAGTGCTGATGTTAAATTGTGACTAATTGAGCTCAACAGTTTTTAATAAGCATTAATTTTGAAATAACAAATGAATACTCAGGTATTGACACTTTGTGAATTCTTTTCAGGTAAATTGAAGAATGAAGAAGATTCTCATAGGTAGGTGGAATTTAAAATATTTGTTCCAGACAATATTGTAAAACTTGTACCAATAGTTGAACTACTTATCTCTGAAACATAAGAACTAGTTTTTGTGATTTGTAATTGTAATAACCAATTAAAAACACTAAAAATAAGTTATCGTCTGTCTTGCAGTGAACAGACCTCAAGTGAAACCCAGTGGAAGGAGCTTACTCAGTATTTTGGAATCAATGATAGGTTTGACCCCCCTGTTAAAAAGAAAAAAATTGACAAGGTAAGATCTTTTTTTATCGCATCTTATATTAGCCAGTAGAAAATGTTTGTAATTAGCCTTACCTAAGGTATTCTCCTCATTAATTAATTCAGTGAAAAAGTTAAAATGTCTACTGTATGTGAAACAAGATGCTAGGTAAACAAGTAAATATATAGTTACAAATCATTAAAAAAATGGCATTAAGGAAATGAACAGGATGTTGTGAAGAAATTAAAATGGAGGCCTCACTTTAGTTTAGGTGGTCAGGGAGGGCCTTTCTTGGAAGATGCCACTTCAATGAGACCTGAAGGATGGGAAGGAACCATCTATATACAGAATGCTCATGTAGAGGTACTAACCTGGGTAAAGGTCCTGGGGAAAATGAGTTATCATAGGACATTTGAGTAACTGTAAGAATGTCAGCCTGGCTGGAATGGAGTCAACAAGGAGGAGAGTGGGCCAGGATAGGATCAGAGAGGCAGGCAGCCAGGGACCAAACTATGAAGGACCTGAAGTGGCAGAATAAGGAATTGGGTTTTAGTTACAATGTAGTTGAGAGTCATTCAAGGGTTTTAAGTTAAGGGAATGATATGATCGAAGTTATGTTTATAAAGATTGCTCTTGTGTGGAGAATGGGCGAAAAAACAGCAGCAAAAGTAGACAAGAAGAGAACAGTTAAGAGACTCTTCTAGGCTCAAGAGGTGGTGACTTGAACAAGAATGATGCTGCTGAAAATGGAGAAAAGTGGATGGATCTGGGGTCTATTGTAGGAGGAGAATGGACAGTATTTGCCTCTGATGCTTTGTGAAGTGATGGAGAGGATTTGGGGAATGAGGAGGGGAAGAGAACCATTCCGGGTTTTACCTTCAGCAGTGGTGTGAATAGTGATGCTAGGTACGAAGATGGGAAGGCTGGGGGGGTGGTGGGGGAGAAGATTTAGAGTGGGTCTGTCCAAAGTTCATTTGGGGCATGCGTGATATCAGTGGGCAGGAGTAGAGAGATAGTTGGTAAAATGAGGCAGGAACCTAGAGGAGAATCTGAGCTGGAGATGTCATCAGTCCTATAGATGATGTGAATATTTAGTAGAGTCTTGAATGAATTTGAGTAACTTACATATTAACATCAGGGAGTGTAGACTCCAGGAGCATGAAAATTGAGCACTGAGTGGTAGGGCTAGAGGCTCAGGAGCCTGCCTGGTTGAAGCCCAAGTATATTGTATCCTGCCTGTGTAGACAGATTCCTCCTTCAGGGATCATTTCTATAGACTGCTGTGTGTACATAGAGACCATTCTGATTAATCAATATTTCTTGTGAAACAAACCTCAGATATTAAACCCATCATCGGGTGTTATTGTGTCTTTGAGGGCATGTGCATTAAGGAACTGACAGAGTAGAATTTTGCATGTGAACCTTTTGATTCCAGTTTTGCTAAGAATTGTTGTCATTTAGTTCCTAGAGCACTGGGGAATTGGAACCAGCACCACTTTCTTTTCTTTTCTTTTTTTTTTTTAAACATTTATTTGAGAGAGAGCACATATGTGCCTGGGGGGAGGGGCAGAGGGAGAGAGAGAATCTCAAGCAGACTCCCCACTGAGTGAGGAGCCTGATATGGGGCTCGATCCCAGGACCCTGAGATCATGACCTGAGCCAAAATCAAGAGTTGGACCCTTAACCGACTGAACCACCCAGGTGCCCCAACTAGGATCACTTTCTGCCATGCTAATTGCTGCTACTGAGCAATCTCTGTTTTACAAATGTTCAACAGGTGCAGAAATGCTTACATTCTTAACAAAAAAAGATCACTGGTAGAGTTGAAACTAAAACCTAGGCTTTATGACACCACGCTCTGTTCTCTAGCTTCACTGCACAAGGGCCGGTCAGCACTTTAAAATGCAGTTGCTATGCTCTTGACCTCTGTGATTCTGGTGGGCTGGCAGGAGGGATCTTGTGAGAAGGGTGCTCTGGACTGCAAAAACCTGTTCTAACGCATGAAGGGGAGTGGGCTGGTCTCTGGCCAACCTGCTGTAGAGTCCCCACTGCTGATTACATTGTTGTTTTGAGGGAAGGAATGGCTAAATATCAGTTCTTATAGGAAATTTTTTTTAAGTTTTACTCATGAATTAGGTGGTCTTTGATCTTCCATTATTTATAGTATTTGTTATGTTTTCTCAGAACTGTTGACTTCAGAATGTCTAAACTGTTTCTTGGTGAAGTTGTTAACCATTCCAAAAAGTAAAAAAATTTGAACGGTTTTTTACAATCTCTGAATTAGAATTTTCTTTTTACCCTACGTATATGAAATTGTACCTTCTTGATACTGGCCAGATATGGCTAATTCTTATTCATTGTCTAAAATTTGAGATTTGTATGGAGTAACCTTAGTAAAGGTTAGAATGACATGTGAAATCTTTTAAACAACTCAGTTTTATGAACTAGTGTTCTGTTTCACATAATACATTAGATGGACTCTAGGAAAAGAAATTTAAGTCAAACATTTTAAAAACAAGATTTCTGTTTAAGGGAAGTCCTCTCTAAATCCTTTTGTGATCACGCAATCTATTTTATGAGTTTGGATTTTCTTAACAGTAGACATTGCTCTGTACGAATGACAGCTGACTAAGAAAGTTATGGCATTTTTCTAAACAAGGAAACTGGTGCTGGCCAGGCTTGCCTCTGCCCAGGATTTTGCCAGCACTTACTATTCTATAAATAAATGCAAGCATAAAAGGAAAAGAAGTGTTTAGTGAGGCCAGATTGTGTCATATTCTCTTGGTAGTTCAGCATGAGTGCACGCCCACAGATTTGCGTTTCTCCTTTGGTTTGGGATCACTGTCTCCCTGTTTTACATGCGCCCCTCTTGCTGTCATGCTAAAATCTACTGTGAATCCAACAGAGTAAATAGACATTAAAGAATGTCTACATTGGAGGCACCAAGATAAAAGCTAAGAATAAATGTAAGTCCAGCCGATAGTAGCTACTGCTCAAGAAATCCAGAGAGGATCATGAAAATCTGTGATGCGGTTTGGACAAAATTCACATGGATTTCTAGTCCATTATTTTATTTCTCTGGAGCAGAGGCTCATCTGTTACCATAGCTGAGAGAGCCCTTTTATTCTGTATTCTCTCAGTCCTCAAGAACGGTAAAACAAAACTTCTTAATCTGTGTCTGTTGTGTAGTACCCCCCACCCCCATGTTTTCTTTCCTTTTTTCTTTGCTTGCTTCCTTTCTTCCTTCCTTCTTTTTTTGGAACACTGCCAAGCTAAAACTTGCTCAACCAAGGATGTGTATTTACAATACTGCTGTCACCTGCTTTCCTGACAATGCAGAGAGGATTTTTTTTTTAAATAAAATTTTCTTAATATCCAAAGCTGTTTTAAAGTGTTCTTTGTGTTAATTACAGCTATAATAGTGTTTCTGTAGTTCTGGGATTTATTAATAATTCTCTAATCACAACATAATTATTTTGAATCTTTGTAGGAATTTCTTTAGAACAAATTTTACTCATTAATTTCATTACAAATATCTCAAGTATTCTTTAGTTGAATCAGCTTGATTAGTCAGCAGTCATTTTGAAGTGGTTTTATATATACTTAATGTATACTTTTTGGCCTGAAAAACTAGAGTTAAGTTTTAAGAGTTTTAAGAGTAATTGCACAATGTCTTTGATAATTTTTTTAGTTGTTTATGAGAAGAAACTTTAATTGTATAGTGTAGCTTTTTTCAAATTTATTTTTTTAGTAGAATGCTTTTTCCAACCAAAATCTTAACTTGGAACTCCAATACACAGATGAGATAAAAGACTGCCTGGGTAGGGGGTAGGGGGTGGTGGGGGAGGGATGTAGGGTAGTGATCTGGAGGGGGCAGAAGTGGTGGTGGTGGAGGGGAGGGTTGGAGTGGTACCATGACTTCCCCTGGTATCAGTTACATAATTACAAAGCATTATCTTTTGATCCCCAGGTGGTGATTCAAATAATTTAAGTAGGGGCGCCTGGGTGGCTCAGTCATTAAGCATCTGCCTTCGGCTCAGGTCATGATCTCAGGGTCCTGGGATCGAGCCCCACTCGAGATCTCTGCTCAGCGGGAAGCCTGCTTCTCCCTCTCCCACTCCCCCTGCTTGTGTTCCCTCTCTCGCTGTCTCTCTCTCTGTCAAATAAATAAATAAAATCTTTTAAAAAAACAAAAAAAAAACCCCAAATAATTTAAGTAGGTATGATTTATACATAAAGGTAACACCGCTAATTCTTAGTTCTTTATTTTACCCCCTTCTTTATGGAGAGATTGCCTAATTCTTTTTCCCTTAAATATTAGGTTTAATTAGTCACAGCAGACTTCAATGGATAGTTCATTTGTATTAAGCTTTAAAAATAGAATATATTATCCAAATATTTAGTAGCAAAATTTCTATAGAAATATATTGTTCAGTTTGACTGAAGGAGCTTTAATCACATGTTGAAAGAGATTTTGCATATATGCACATGTGGATGATTGGTCCTTCATGTTAAACCTCATACCCATACATTTCTTTGATATTTGTCTCCTTGACCCGTCTGCAGCGAAACTGTTAATTAGAGGTTATTTATGGCCTCGTGGGAACCCGTTAGATACTGGCCTTGGATGTTTTTCCACCTATGGCCAAAGTGCCATCTCTAAATTTGTTTGGCTGTATTGAGGTGTATATATCTTAAGCTAAATTCTGATTCCTGACAAAAAGCACACTGAGGCCCTGCAGAGTATCATCAGTCCCACTTCTGTGCTATGAGAGACATCAGAGATAATTCCAGTAAAGGTACTCTTGGGTTCAACTTAAGATTTTTTAGCAGACTTAAGTAATCAGACCTTACTTCATGAGACTACTTACTGACTCAAAGTTGAATTCTTGCATCTTATTTATGCTTGGGGCTGAGGCCTTGATGAGTTATGATGAGGTCTGTAGCCATATGGAGCTAGGCCTTCTTTTGGTTTTAATGGTATCCTGATATTTAGATAAAATAATATGAACAGCTTATTTATCAGATGATGC